ATGGCGTTGGCTAGAGCCTGTCCCTCTCATCCTGCCCTGGAAAGATCTAAGTCAGGACATTGTGGTCCCCAGAACAGAATTTCCCTGTTTAGGACTGCCTGTCCTACCCACCTCTCCAGCTCCAGGATGCCCTCAAGGACTTTCCTTCTGAATGCAGCCTCCAAAGTCCAAAACAGCGCCCTCCGGTGGACAATACAAATGTTCCTCCTCTAGGAGGACCAGCGATCTCAAACAGCGCCTCCAGTGGACAATATGGAAGTTCCTCTTCCAGGAGGACCACAAATCTCAAACAGTGCCTTCCAGTGGATGGCCTAAGCATGGCAGAGGAACCCATGCCAATTCTACAGCACAGGTTACAAAGTCAGGGTACGGATTTTGTGAAAGAAAATGGTGCACTTTCCAAATCTGAATATCTTGGATATGTTTCAGACATGAGGTGGCAGAAACAAAGGAAGACGTCACGGCATTTAGCAGATAGGAACTGTCCCCAAGTACATGTTCTCCCTTCTTTCTATTATTAAGACAGCCAAAGGCTGACAAGATGGCTTAGTGGGTAAAGGGGCTTGCCACCAAGACCTGTGTTCCATCCTCAGAACCCATGTGGTAGAAGGAGAGAGCTGACTCTCACAAGTTATCTTCTGATCTCTCCATACATACGCACAAAATAACTAAATAAAATGTCATTAAAATGTGTTAAATACCATCAAATTTTAGATCAATCCAGACATCCAAACAAAGTCAATATATTTGGGCCTCTTTCATAGCAATTATGATATTAGAACTACTCTTTGACCAGTAATATGGAAACTCAAATACTGTGTATCAATTTCCAGAAAATGGCCTTAAAAGGAGAAAAAATGCTGTCCAATGTTTCCTCCATCCTGTTTTTGGCAATGCGGATGTGATGGCTGATATTCCAGTAGCCTTACTACACCACATGGTGGGAGTGACTTGCTGAAGATGGTAAAGCAAGACACAGTGAAAGGGACAATAAGGTTCCCTGTAAAATCAACTGGTGTCTGATGTCAAGTGCAATGTGCCAACCATACATGGCTGTCTTTCTTTCTTCTCTTTCTCCTTCTTCCTCCTTATTTATGGGGCGTAGAGTACATGCCATGGGGCTCATGTGGAGGTCAGAGGACAGACACCTTTCAGGTATTTGGTTCTCTCCTTCCAGGATGTGGGTCCCAGCGGTGGAACTTAGGTTATAATGTTTGGGCAAGAGCCTTGACTGACTGGGTCATCACCCACCTCTTCCTTCTTTTCACTTACTAAGCTAAGTTAATATGGGTTTATGATAGCCTTGAGGTCCATATTCCAGATCTTTCCTTCGGCGAAACAAACTCATAATTACGAAGGCCAAGAGATAAACTGCCCAGCATCACTTGTCTTTGGAACAACTGGACAAAGGGAACAAGAGACCATCACTAACAGGGCTCACTTTATAGGCTAAAAGTCCCTGTGCTTCAAGACTGGATAAGACTGGTCTCATTCATTCCCCCATTTCCTTCCATGGTTTTAATAATCTAGCAATACCACGCTCAGACGCCGCTTCTGACTCCTCTCCCACAGCAACAGTAACACGCCCTCGTCCAGAGAGACCAGGAAACAGATAATGAAGG